AGCTAAATTTCAATTATGGACTAATACATATTCATCCGCCATCTTTGCAGCTCTTCTTACTTTGGTAACTTTCTATTCTTCTATATGAGTTCTTGTCATCTCTAGAAGTGAGTTTTTAAACTCCTCCAGCAGAATAATCTCTCTATGATCCTCAAATGTCTTTTCTATCTGTAATGCTCTCACCCATGTATCGAAGTTGCTAGTTTAATTCTTTCAAACTCAACATAACTCTGACCTGGGTCCTTCTGTATGTTTCTGAGCCGTTATGTATATATTTCTGGTACCAATTCGTAGGAGCTCAAAATAGCCTGTTTTATTTCTTTGTATTCTTTTGACACCTCATCTGACCGCACTGCTCTCTAGCCCTGCCTACCAACTTAGTCTGAATTAACTATATCCACATATCCTCTGGCCAGTTCATCTGTTTAGCCAATTTCTCGAAGGAAATGAGAAAGGCTTCTACAAATGTCTGATTGAATTTTGGTAACGTTGTGACATATTTGTATGTATTCCTACTAGGCTGTTGGCAACTGTGAGTTTGCTCATCCTCGCTTCTATCTTGTACTTTTCCTTCTGTCATTTGAAGTCTTTTTACTTCACGTTCCAATTTCATCTTTTCCAACTTGAATATTCTTTCCCTTTCTTCTGCTTGTAACCATAATTTAAACTGTCGCCTTCCTTTCATTCTCCAACTCCAGTTGTTTCATTTGCAATCTAAGTTTTTCTAACTCCATTGCACTTGCCTGTTTCTCTGGTATACCTAAATACTTGACCAACTCTATTACAATTTCAGTTTTCCTCTTGTCCCTGGTTAAACCCAATTCTAACCTGCTTGTTAATTCTAAAAATATATCCTTCCTCTGTCTTTCTAAACTTTCTTGGCAAATTTGTGAAGCATCTTCAAATCCCAGAACCTTTTTAGCAATGTTAAGAGCCGTTTCCCTCACTTTTAATTTAACCTACCACACGGAACTGATATTAAACAGATTTTTCTCACCTAGGTTTTAATTAAAGATCTAGTACACTAATCGCCAACTTTTTAAATCTATCCAAATCAGTCCAGATCGCGAACTTGACCAGCCAAATCTCAGACTAGCCCCCAAACTCTGTTACAGAGGAATCTGTTATGGACGGAAACGGCCAACCCCTCTGATAATTAAACTAAAACACGAGCCCCAATCTGTTATGACAGGAGTAGGGATTCCCCCCTAATAATTACCCCCAAAACACCCAGAGAAGCTCGTCTTTCCACTTGCAATCTATGAAGAGAGTGTTTTAACAAAAAGAAAATCCCTGATCTCGACTTTACAAGTAACAAGAAACAATTTATTTATTTAACCCAACAATGAACAAATTAACAAAATTACTGTCAAACTGACAATTTCCTCGTAGACTACTAACTACTCCCTAACTGGTCTAAATTCTACTGGAATGCTGTTTAAATAAAGACAAGTCCTACTAATTAATAAGAAGCAATAAATTATAACTTAATCTCTCCAAGTTCGCACAGACTGTCGTCTGGAATATTTTGTCGTCTCTGGCCTCCTCACAAACACCTTTCTCTTGTTAATTCTGCTGTCAGGAATGTTTTATCTCTTTAATTTCTTCAATGAGGACTTTGAGCTAATATACTGTAGTACCTTTGATTAATTAGATGGGCTTTCGCTAAGGGCTGAGTGGTGCCAACTCTGATAGGTGGCAGCTGTCTCTGTCTTTCAAATGGCAGTTGGCTCTCCCTGATTTTCCAAATGCCCTCGTCTTATATACCCGTAATGACATAATCAAATTCTTATAATATGGTTGGTTTCAGGCTGTCAACACCATCAGATTTAAATTTATTTGGCTTTTTGTATCTATGCGTTTCACTTAAATCAATTGGCCAAATTCAAACTTGTTGTCTTGGAAAAGATGCTGTTTGGCTGTTCTAGATAAAATGGTTCCATTTGGGCACACTTCAGTGCACCTGCATTTATAAACTTCCAAGCACAGACAAAGCACAAGCTCTTAAAGTGACCACAGCGCTCTTTTCCCCACGATCATTTTTACAAACAAATTCTAACTTCCTGCCTTACAGTTTATGAATACTCTACCTAACTTTGTAATATTCACCTTCCCCCCAGTTTAACACCTTCACCTGAGGACTGCTGTTATCCCTATCCATGAGTATCTTAAAACTCACAGTATAATGGTCACTACTCCCGAAATGCATCCCCACTGAAACTTCACTCAACTGGCCGGGCTCATTTCCCAAAACCAGGTCCAGTATAACCCCTTACCTGGTTGGATTGTTTACTTGTTGTGTCAAGAATCCCTCCTGAATGGTCCTTACAAATTCTGCTCCATCCAAGCCCCTAACACAGAGTGAGTCCTATTCAATATAGAGGAAGTTAAAATCTCTCACCACAACAACCCTGCTGTTTTTACGTCATGAGAGGTTATATCATTGAAAATTACAAAATACTGAAATGAATAGACAGGGTAAATGCAGGCAGGATCTTTCTCCTGGCTGGGGAGGGAGGTGGTGGTGGAGGAATCAAGGGACTCAAAAATAAAGAGATGACATTTGGGTCTAAGATGAGGAGGAATAGTTTTACTCAGAGAATTGTGAATCGTTGGAATTCTCTACCATAAGGGGCTGTGAAAACTCAGACTTTGGTTATGTTTAAGATTTATAGTTATGAGGTATTTTAGAGACTGATAGGTTTCTGAGGCATGGAAAGTTATGGGGTGGCTAAAAGACGTTGAAGTGTCGATCACCCAAATTCATATTGAATGGTGATGCAGACACACGAAGCTGAATGGCCTACTCCTGTTCCAGTATCCCAGTTGACGTGAGGTAGCTCAGCTTGTTTACCCCTATTTAACTTTAAAATACTAATCTTAGGCTGACTTTTCTCCCTTTCAAACTGGATGTAAAATTCAATCTTCTTGTGGGCGCTACTATCCAGAAATACATTCACTCTGAGCTTTTAGTTAACCTGCCTCATTGCACAATACCAAGCTTAATGTAATCCGCTGTCTTTTTTCTGGAACATCCTGCTCTTAAAACAAAAGTTGCAAAAGCATTATATGAACTTCTCATCCAGGGTTACCAACCTGATTTTTCCAGTGTTCGGATATATGGACATTACATTCACCCGTGATATTTATATCATGAGCACCAAAAATTCCAATATGTTTCTTTTGTACTTTGTCTTCTATCGTGGTTACTGTCAGGGGGCCTGTCGACCACTCCCACTAGTTACTTCTTTCCCTTACTATTCCTCATCTTCACCCAAACCAAGGTCATGTCTAACTATTGCATCAATGCTATTTTTGAACAACAGTGCTACCCCTCCACTTTTACTTAGCTTCCAATTCTTGAATTTTATCTAACCTTCAGCAATCAGGACCCAAACCAATCATATTTATGTACTTCAGTGTGGGCTTTCAATTTGTTTACTTTTGTTTCAAATGTTCTACACATTCAGATACTTTGTTGTTTTGCTTTGTAATGTATAGACTTGACTGTTGGTGTATTCTTAGTTCCTTTTTTTCTCTCTCTGACCTTCATTTCCCATATCACTATTTTGCTCCCCTGTCTTGACTCTATCCCTTGATTTGCAACCTTTACCCAAGCTTGATCCCTGAGTCTCCTTAATAACTTAAAGCCCTATTTGTTTCCCTGTTTATGCTTATGTACAAACACCAGTCCCAGCACAGTTAAAGTACAGATTGTATCAACAGCGTAGAAGCATAGACCCCACTTTCCCTGTAAGTTTCCAGTGCCTAAGAAATCAGAATACACTTCTCCCACAGCAGTCTTTGAGCCAAGCATTCATCTCTCTAATCTTATTCATTCTATGCTAATTTGCATATGACTCAGGTAATAATCCAGAGGTTATTGTCTTTGAGGTCCAGTCTTTTAATTTAGCAATTTTCTTCTCATACTCTCTCAGAAAAGCCTCCCTCCTTGTTTTAAGTTGTTTGTACCGATGCGGACCTTGACAAATTTCCACCCCCTCACTTTGCAAGTTGTCCTCCAAACAAGAGCAGATATCTCAACTCTGGAACTGGGCAGACAGCACTGGACTCACACTCTTTATTGCAAAGAACAACATCAATCTTCATCATTATGTTGTCCCCTACTACCACCACATTCCTTTTTGCTTGCCCCGTTTGAATGGATTTTTGTGGCACAGTGCCACGTTAGTTAGGTCATCCATCCTGCATCCGTCACTCTCATCTAAACAGGCTGAGAAACCTCAAACCTATTCGACAGTTGCACAGGCTGAGACTTCTGCACTCTCGCTCCCTGAGTTCTGTTACCCTACAGTGGAACGCCATAAAAAGTGCAGCCGAAGGAAAAAATGTTCGGCTGACCCTGCTTCTGCTTACCTCATACTGTCTGTGGTCAGGTTCTACTGCAGTTTGCATGTCAGATCTTCAAAATTAATATTAATATTGGATCTCATTCATAAGTACAAACATTCTAAATCAGACATTTGTAAATCAGGACCCCCAGTATTAACATCCATCAAACTAACAGCCCATCTCTAACAGCATTCCCATTGTTGTCATGTAAACTCTGAAATTGGTGAACAGTAATGTGTCATATAGATACTTTTACATAGTCCATTGTATACACCTATTTAAAAAATGTTTTATGATTTTACTGTAGTCAGTGCAGAGTATTTCTTCTTGCAACTTTGCCGTGTTCTTGAGTAAAGCAGGTACTTTCAAAAAGGAAAAACAGACGGAAATAAAATTGGTATAGACTAGAATCCATGCAGTCTGTAGTATTCAAGTCTTGGAATTAAAGATCCTGGTTTTCAGTGGTCTTTGTCCCTTTGATTTATTATTCCACACAAAATTGAAAAGAAAACAATGAAGTTGACAGTCAAGATTATATACCATTTACTTTGTTCTAACAGTAGACCAAGTTCTCAGAAAAATAACAGATCATTTTTCTTCATTCCACCATTTTGGTCATGTTATGTCATTGTTTTTTCCCTTTCCAGACTTGTTACATCTCAATTGATGACCTCTTTGAAGCTTTTGACGTCTTTTCTGAATTTCCTTCTCTTGAGTATAAAATCTGGCTAGCACTAGGGATTCGCATTGCGATTACAATCATGATGGAAGATATATCATATCAGGTAATTATGTCCTTGTCGCTTGTATTACAGAATAAATTTTCAGATCCTGCATCTTAGGCAAGGAACTTCTCTTAAAGGGAAAATGACAGAGATAGAACATTGATATTAGTATTAGTTCTCCAACCTGGCTGACTTACGTGTATGACAGCCCACACAAAGTGCAGGATTACTGAATTCACTTTTATGAAAACTAAATTTACGCTACAGTGGCTCAGTGGTTAGCACTGCTGCCTCACAGCACCAGGGACCTGAGTTCGATTCCACCCTCAGGCAACTGTCTGTGCGGAGTTTGCTCATTCTCCCGTGTCTGCGTGGGTTTCCTCCAGGTGTTCCGGTTTCCTCCCACAGTCCAAAGATGTGCAGGGTAGGTTAATTGGCCATGCAAAATTGTTCATAGTGTTCAGGGATGTTTAGGTTGGGTGGGTTAGACATGGGGAAATGCAGGGGTAAGGGGCTGGGTGGGATGCTCTTTGGAGGGATGAACGGCCTGTTTCCACACTGTCGTGATTCCGTGAAATTAGCTCTCCTGTTCTCATATGAATCTGGACCAAGACAGTAAACTTGGTTGAACAAGAAAAAGAATACTTCTATCTATAATGTTTCAAAGAAATTTATAAATGATTGAATTATACACATTAATTTTATGCACAGCAAGATCACAAGTATGTATGAGGTGAATAGGTAATCTATTTCACTTTTGTTTGGGGAAAAAAGTGCTGTCTCGGACATCAAAGGAACTTGCTACTCAATTTGAATCAACAAAATAAGATTACCTCAACTTTCCAATCAAAGGATAATGCATCTACAAAACGTACTAACATGCAGTCAGTTTCACTTAAGTGCTCAAGTCCTGGAGATGAAATTGAACCCATGACCCACTGGCTTAAAGAATAACGTGCTATCAACTGAACCAAGTTGAAGTAAAGTATCATAAGGAAATTTTCTAAAATATTTGCAATATTAGTCATTAGCTGTTTCAAAAGGAAAAAAATAATTGAAATTCACTTTTAACCCATCTGGCTTTCTAGAAGTCCAGAATTTTAAGTGTGAGAAATTACTTAACAATTTTACCACAGACTACAGGTCCATTACAAACAATTATAAACAGCATGCAAACTTCCAATCTGCCAGCCTAATTGGAAGCTATTGGCTCTGAATCCTCAACAGGAGAAGTGGGTAGTGCCGAGGCAGGTCAATATCTCAAAATGGAGATGCGCCCAAACAATGGATATTTGAAATCTAAAATTTAAAGGGCTGAATGTGTAGGAATTGCAGGACAAAGGTGAAACTCTTTGAAGAGATTGTTGGGGCCTCAGGGCAGCGTTTTGTACTTGTGGCTTCTTAATTGGGCCTGGAGCCTTGTTAATTAACTTTGGAAATTTTCTACTGCCAATCTACATTGCAGCCAGCCTCCTCTATGCCTCTGGGCTACTTCCCCAGCAGCATGTTCAACAGGAAGCCATCATGATCCAGTTCCCTGCTGTTTTCCTTCTACTTCTATACTCATCAACTGGGAACCAGTAAAGTTTAACCCAAGACATCACTTACAAGGAACAGTTTCAAGAAGGAATGAACAAATTCTTGTCAACTAACAAGACTCAAAATTATTAGTGATCCGTAATGGGAATATTGTAGACTCGTGGAATACCTGGATTTGAAGGTCTACTCTTGCTGGAAATTATTGCAATGTTACTACACAACATAATAGCTCAAACCCTTTATAACAATAGTCTAAGTATTCAGGAGAATTGCAAAGAGTAGGTCAATGCCTTCTGCTAGGAGAACCTTTACAATTGAACATACAAAATAGGAGCAGACATGGGTATTACAGCCCCTCAATCTGCTCTGCCATTCAATAGGATTGTGGCTGATCTGTTGTGTTCCAAACTCTACATTTCTATCTGTCCTTGATAACCTTTGATTCCCTTGCCCAACAAAAGTCTATGTGCCTTAAAATATTCAATGACCCCATTTTCAATACTTTCTGAGGCAGAGTTCCAAAGTAGCACAATCTTCTGAGAGAAAAATATTCTCCTAATTTCTGTGCTAAGAGGGTGACTGCTAATTTTAAAACAATGCCTCCTAAATCTGGTCTCATCCATTAGAGGAAATATCCTTTCAACATCCACCTTATCAAGACCATTCAGCATTTCCACTTAATTAAATCACCACTTATTATTCTAAATTCAAATGGAAACCAGCCCAGGCTGTCCAATCTATCCTCATAAGACAACTCACTCATTTCAAAGTATCAATCAGTTCAGTCTCCTCTTGAAACATCTCATTAGCAACTTCTTTTCAGACTCTAGGATGAAGTCCATCTCGATCTGGAGCCTTGTAAGCCTGCAGCTCCATCAGTTTGCTTAGTAATGCTTCCGTAACGATTGGAATCTCATTAAGTTCTTCTCTCGCTTCCACCTCCTGACTTACAGCTTTTACATGGATATCTTGTTTGTTAATATCATCCACTATTTCATTATTATCTATGATTACTGTCCATTATTACTGTATAAAGTTTGCTGTGTGTAACTGATGTCCTGAGTTGAATCCAAGACTGACTGCATGTACCAGAACTGGTGGCAGATTGTCCCAGTCATTCACCTACCTAAGGAGGTATGGTGCTAAAAAGTGCAAAATAAACATTATGGGCATCCATAAGCAAGTAAAGGAATTAATGATAAAAATTGTAAAATCTCATGATAATTATACTTTATGTACTACAATACAAGTAAGCGCCAACGATACAGGATCCTATTTTGCCCATTATGTTAGAAAAATTGAATTTTTCTGTGTAGCTGCAGCCACAGGTTTTAGATAATGCTGCTAATACTAATCCACAGAATTACTTCCTGTTGCACTCTTTTACAAACTGTCTCCTGAGAATTTTTCCCTCTTTAGTTTTTGTTAATTTGTATTTAAAAGTTATTTGCTGTCAGTGTTAGGGAGAGAATTCTTGATATCTACTCCCCTTTGTGTGAAAAGTGCTGCCTGATTTCTCACTTAAATAGCCCAGTGCTCATTTTAAGATTATGCTCCCTCATTCTGCATTCCCTTATCATGAATCTTGTATACTGCATAAGTAGAAAACATGTGCCATTTTAATAACAAAACCATCAAACAATTTAGAGGGAAGGTTGAAGTATAACTTTTTTCACCTGGAACATGTTGAGGTCTGGTACAGGCAAAACCCCTAATTGTACTTTTTTTAAAAATTGGATATACATTTGAGATGTCATAATGTACAGGGCTACGGACCAAGAGATGAAACGTGGGGTTAAACTTTATCTTCTGGCATGAGCTGAATGCTTTCCTTCTGTGCTATAAATCTTCCTATGTTTCAATATTTATTTTGTCATTTGCCTATTGACAGCTTGAAATTCTCCACTGTTGGTTCTTCTTTAAATGTAAGATGCTTTCATTTGAAAAGTAATGAAAACTGTACAAAATTATTAATGTATTTCTTCCTGAAACCAATGGCTAATTTTATTCTAGGGCTGGTCATATAACAGCATCTGTGCTTATCTGGCTCGCTCCTATGTGGTGGATATAGAAAAGAACAACAGATTTGATCTTTATGATGGGACAGTAGAGGATGCATTTCTTGTTTATGGAAGTGCTGAGGATGTACAGTCGCAGCGACAATATGATGCTCCCTGTTATATTTCAAAAACTACACACCAGGTATGAAATCCATCTTCAAATAGTTGATAAATGAGTTATAAAAATACCAGTGCTTATATAGTATATTTGGAAGTGCATAAGAAGAATTAATTTTAGTGCTTCACTATCATATATGAATCACTGAGTGACAAGGAGTAGCACAATCTGGACACTTCTGATCATTCTAATTTTGTAACAATTACTATTACTGACTAAGACACTTTGGGTGCAAAATTCAACCTTATAGTATCTATTGTTTGGCTGCCATTTATGGCTCTGCATTGTTGTCCACACTGTGAATGCAGACTCAAGTGTGACTCACTTAATAAGTTCAAGGTACAGGCAGTACATGTGTTTGCCATTATTATACAAAGTATACAAGGGGCCTCCTTGTGGCACAGTGATAGGGTCCCTACCCCTGGAGTGGGAGGCCTGGGTTCAAGTCTCCAAAGTTGTGTGATAATATCTTTGAACAGGTTGATTAGGAAAAATAGGCTAATAAAGAAAATTTACAAAGTACATAAGGGAGGCCTGTTATGGTGCGGTGGTAATATCCATACCTCTGGGCCAGAAGACCCAGGTTCGTGTCCCATTGGCTTCAGAGACCTATCATAACATCTCTGACCAGATTGATTACAAAGTATACAAGATCATGGTGTCAGTCAGTGCATCAAACTGGACAATAGTGCTACTGGTTTCAATCTCAAAATTCATTTACTACCCTTGCTTGAACATATAATTAAGCATATGTTCAATGGTAGATGTAACCCATCAATGCTATTTAAAGGGATCCTAATGCACTCTCAGGCTAGTTGTTAATTAAGTTCTACTATCTCTCTCTGTGTCTGTAGTGGTGCTTGGTGGTTTCCAGTGTTGTTTTAAGTTGAGGAAGTCAACTAGGAGTGATACCATAAGTGGACAAAGGCTTGATTCTGGCCGAAGAGGTTAAAAAAAACAGTAATATTTTGAATCAAACATACTGGTTGGACTAGAGCTATTTGAAATAAACAAAATGAGTAAGACTAGCATGTGTCATTCATAATATTACTGTTTTTGCTTTGGGTTCTATACATAACACTTGCTTCCAGATATGAGTGCTGCAATTACCAACCTTGTTGACCTGTAACATGATAGGAAAATTGAACAGAAGCTGCACAAAAGAGAATGATTGAACATACAGGAAGGAAGGACAGGAAAGTCCTCACAGCAGGAGGAAGATACTAACAACTGCAGATGCTGGAGTCAGAGTCAACACAGTGTGGAGCTGGAGGAACACAGCAGTTCTGAAGAAGGGTCCCGACCCGAAACGTCGACTTTCCTACTCCTGTGATGCTGTCTGACCTGCTGTGTTCCTCTACTCCACACTGTGTTGACCCTCACAGCAGGGGACCTTGTCCACTCCAGTCTTCTGGGAGCACTTCTGTGAACTCTAGATGTCATCTCCATTTTATGAAGGAGTTATTTATGGATTTCTCCAAGCTTTTGCAGTCAGACCTGCACGGTCAAAGCAGGGCAAGGACAACAGTGCTTATATTTGTGAACTTCCAGTCATTCCTTTGCATTGGAGTTCTCCAGGCTGGTTCAAGTGCCATGTTTAGTTCACTATTTGTTACTGCATAAGATTGGTAAGTGACACTGTTTATGCCAGGAGAGGAGAATATATTGTGTACTGGAGAGAAGTGGACAGGGCTTTGTCAGGGTGACAGCGTTCCTGATGGTGCAGGGTGCCATCAAATGTAGATGATGCATACTCTAGAGTTATGAGATGATGCTAGGGATGTAAAGAGAGGCAGGCCTATTTTCATACTAGTGAACAGGAACCTTTATTAGCTATTTACTGTATAAACATAAATAGAGCATTTCTGGAACCATGCTGGAATGGCAGTATTTCCAAGTTTGTTTCACATCAGCATGCAGCGCTGATGACTTATACCATTCGTTAGCACTATAGAATCTAATTCATTGTTCTGCATCTTCCCCAAGTGTTTTGTTCAATTTGTTGTCCATGCTTTGTTCTGAACATCTGGGAGAAACGTCAACATCTGGGAAATGTAGCATCTACCGTTTCAGCTGTCTGTCTCATATGAATAATTATGGAAGATTAACTGAACTCCATCTCTGGAAACAAAGAAGAACACTGGTCAGAGAAAATAAGACTCTCTGTTGGGCCATTCCATGGGACTCTTCGGGTGAATATGTATGTTTCTATTGGTACTAGGATAACTTGTTCACATTCAGGAGCTTGGGACTGCTGTAGAGACCTTCTGGTTCCCACATAAGGGTTTCTCCTTGTCTTGACAATGGCAAGACTGTCTTTGGAGTGGTGTGGACAAAAGCAAGGCTGAATCCTTATGAAGGATTGGCTGGTCAATAGATGGTGTGACGGCTGCCACCCGTGAATCTCAGGTTGTATATTGAAAGGACATAGTTTCTAGATTATGGAGTGTAGGAGATTGTAGAAGATCCCAGTAATTCAGTTTTTCTGGCATTTCATTATTAAAAACTGAAGCAGATGGGTCTTCTGTGAATTTCTAAGCAGGAGTATTATCCAAGTTGGGCACTAGTGCTCTACTCCAAGTTGAAAGTTAAGGTAAAAGCTCTGAGGAGTAAAGAGCATCACAATGAAGCATCTCTCTGGGATTCTGAGGTGTAGGCTTATTTGAAGTCAAAGGACATCAAGGTAAATTGGAATGATGGTGCACTGTAGGTGATCAATCAAAGAACTCCAAAGACTCAATGTGATAACGCAGCATCTCCTCTGCACAACAAGACCCTAAAACAAACTGATATGCTTACGTTGCTGAAGATAAAGAAGGTTTCAGGTAAAAATAAGGACTACCTTTTCAAATAACTATCTACAAGGTTCTGCAAGCTAACTTGTAGAATTTGGGAATTCAGTGGTATCTCATTGGAGAAAACTACTAGGTATACTGACTTGTAGACATAATAAAAGAGCCAGAAGACTCCACTCTACACTCAGGCACCAGGCAGGCAGGATGGTGGCAAGGATATCCACAGTGAGCACCTCTACATTATCGGGAAAGATTGCTGCCACATAGGCCATTCTAGCTGCTGAAGGATATTGAGCTACAGTATCACTTGAGATGAAAGGAGTGAAGCTTCCAACTGTGACTGCTAATGTTTGTCAGTGGATTGCTCAATGGAACTGTGAGACAAAGGCACAGTTGCATCAGTGTAGTCAATGCAGGCCTGATGCTGGTCAAAACAGATAACAGATACTGTATGGACAGAGGCTGTCCAAGAGTTGTTAATCTCTAAAATGCGCTCAAAGAGTATGGCTAGATCCAGAACTAGATCCTCCATCAAATCATCAGCAATGGCAACAGCTTCTTTCTTGAGCACTCTGTCATGCCTCAGTGATTAGCACTGCTGCCTCACAGTGCCAGGGACCCGAGTTTGATTCCAGCCCTGGCGACTGTCTGTGTGGTATGCACATTCTCCCCTTGGTTGAGTGGGTTTCCTTTGGGTGCTATGATTTCCTCCCCCTGCACACCAAGATGTTCAGGTTAGGTGGATGGTGATGCTAATTTGCCCATGCCCAGGGATATGCAGGCTAGGTGGGTTAGTCATGGGAACTGCAGGGTTACAGGGATAGGGTAGGGAGGTGGATCTGGGTGGAATGCTGTTTGGAGGGTCAGTGTGGACTCTATGGTCTGAATGGTCTGCTTCCACACTGTAGGGAATCTATGATTCTATGATCAAAGATCAAGTGTAAGTCAAACCTAGCCTCCTATGCCTGGTCACTTTCATGTATGACATGCTCATGTTCTGCTGCATTGAGCCTGTCCTAAAAAGGGAGTGGAACATCCAGATATTAATCTGTTGTTCTCTTGGGATGGAGTGTCATCAAAGAAGGGTAGATCATAGTCATCTGCTGCCGAAAACAGACAAGACAAACTTCTCTTCAGTGAGGAATGCTGTTGATTAGAACTGATACACAGAATTTCTGCAAACTCATGTCCATTACAGCACAATGTGGCATGCAGCTGTAATTGACAGTTATTGAAATACTTCCTGTACCTTGAGGTTGGACATCAGAGTGTTGAAAAGGGGAAGCTTGAGCCACTCTACAGTATCGGAAAGAATGACTCACTGGCCCTGGTATCTAATTTAAAACAAGTTCTTGCCATTAACAGAAATGTCAGAATACCAGATGTCATCTTGAGCATCTGTGACATCTGTCAGAAAAAAATGCATTTGGTCTTCATTAGCATCCATTTCTTGCACAGGGGTATGTTATTCTGATTTATTTTTACTGTTTGTCTCACAGCTTGGATGGTTTTGTTCTGTTACAGACAAATTACTCTTTATGTGACAGATTTGGCACACTGTTGTGCAGTTGTTGGGCAGTTTTCCTGCCGTTGAGGATATTTCTGGCCCCACTATGGGCCCTTTTTCCATTGCTTTTGATTTCTAATTGGCCTCTGTGGCTTGCAGTTTAACAAACTGGACAGTCTCAGCGTGTGCTCTTAGGTAAGATCTCTGTCTCCCTGGACTAAGGGTTTGTTCTGTTTATGAGTTTCAACAAGTTGAACAACCTTGGGCAATGTGAGGTCTTCTCTGGACTGTAAGAAATCAGTTGACCTACTACTACAGACCCACTTCTCATGAATATTCTTATGAATATTCAAGCAAATTAATCTTCTTAATAATTCCATTGCTCTTTCTTGGAATGCACTTACCAGCTCCCTGAACCCATCGCCGTGAGGCAGCAGCATGGAAAGTGAACTGACTTCATTCAGTGAGGTCCTTCCCATCACACTATTGTTGTGGGAGCCATCAGTCTGCTAATGGCCCAGTAGTGTACAACTGACTATGTGGTGCAGGATATCAGAACTCATTAAATAATTTTGTGAAACTCACATGCAGCTCAGTGGACCTTCTCACATCCTTGGAGGTGATCTTGCACAGTGTTTTGTCAGCTGAAGTGGAGACAGGCTGCAGACCTTTCTGCTCCCTGGCTTTTGTCCTGTAGTTGCCTGAGGCCATGACAGCACAGGCATACTGGGGCTCTCCAGCACAGGTTCAGTATGCATATCTACCGTATTTTCTCCTGAGGCATTAGTGTCACTGTCAGGGGGACAGAGATCTACCAAGCACGTCAGGATCCTGAGAGAAGTCCCATATATTTCAGGCAGCTGATTCTGTCCCCTTTCAGGGCACACTAGTCCTTCTGTGTTCACTTGAGGTGTTCAAGGACTTGGTCTGAATCCAGGCATCTCAACCCTCTTTCACCCAGCCAAATTCATGGAGGGCTGATGGCGCACAAGTCCACATGCATTCCTGGCATCGGCTAGGTAGTTTGGAAGATGTAGCTCTCTGACGAGGATCACCACCTTCTTAGTTCAGAATTCCACACAGGTACTGGACACATAGCCGCACATGTGGCCTGGATGCACAATTGGATCATTCTCACATGGATGCAAAGCCTGTGGAATTCGTTCAGATGTTCACATACCTTACAATGCAGCAGTAACATCACAACCAATCCGCAAGAAGCACATTTTCAGCCCAAAGTTGAATATTGGTGTGGCGTCCACAGTTCTCTGTGTATGAATGACTTCAGGCATCACTGTCTCCATCAGCTGCTTCAGTAAAGATTATGATCCTATTACTATTTGCATGTAATTACACACCAACATGAGAGTATCTGTACTGGTGGAGGATGTGGCAAATGATGTGAAACAGCATCCTCTGAGGTTTCCTCCTTCTCCTTACAAGTGGAAGGTTGTCCTGTAGGCTCTGTAGCTAACTACTCTTGTCCATAACCTGCAAAAGAGAAAAGAGTGATGAAGGGCACATCCTTCTGATTACTCATTATCTGGAGCTGTACATAACCAGTGCTAGACTATACTTTGTGCTCGTTAGGGGATCGATTCTGCCCATCCAAAGGGCCACTCACTTTCTCAGACACCACATCTGTCTCATCGTAAGCAATTGCCTGCTCACCCTCCATACCTTATTAACTCTGAAGCCTTTTCTTCCATTGACATGAGAATGAATGACCCCTCTTCCAATTCTTGATCTTTTTCTCTGATTGTGAGTTCTATCCTGCAAGCACATAAATTCTCTTTGTTCCTCATCCATCAAAGATACACACGCTGCTTGTGTTAGCAGTAGTCAATTTGACAACCTGAAGAACATCATGCTCCCACCTCTTAACCTGCCCCATGAAGCCACCCCGCCTGCTCTGTGTTGGAACTTCATTATTACTAGTAAAATAAGTTACTGTCTAAGAGTTGCAGAAACTTGTGAAAACTAGTGAACAGATACATTTAAGCAACCTTCTGTAACTCATTCAACAAACCCACCTGTCCACCTGTGGACAACCATATGAATGAATCACCAGCAGTAAAATTTGTTTTTGTAACCACTTCGGTTATGTTGGATCACTGTTCAATGTATTCAATCTCAAAACATGTCTGGTCAAAGTTGAAAGAAGTGCAAATTATTTTTTTCTATTTGTAAAGTATATAATTCAGTTTAGAATTTCTGTGAAGAGGTCTTCTTTAGCAGTGACTAACAAATTTGTTCTTTACAATATTTTAGGTATTGGGATTAGCTAATATAAATAAAATACTGCTTGTTGGTCCAAACATAAAACAATTAGAAGAATGCAATGGTGGACCATGCCTTCGGCATCCACAGTCCCGGAAACCTGGTAAGCAACTGATTCAGTGCTTGTAAGCCAAGTTATATCTGTCTGTCAGTTGGTCTAAATCCTAATATCTTTTCTAAGAAAACTTTAATCATTCTAGATGATTATTCCTCTCCACAGTTGAGAATAACAAGACAGTTGAGTCTGGATTTTGATCCAAAGATAGGATAAGCTTTAAACCTATCCATATCTCTGAACTATTACTTTTTGCACCTGTATGCATGGATACTTAATTCCTTTCCCTTCATTGCTCGTTATTTCTATATAAAGACTTCAATATTTAGAAAATATTCTAATACATCTTCCCTAGATTCACAGTAGATGACTTTACAGTTTCATACGTCAACTGTCTGCCATAGTACTGTCCAGTAACTTGGACTGCTTAGTCCCTTTTAAACTCCTTGTTCCCATCCACACATATTTATCTCTTAACACTAGGTCATATGCAAACTTGGATAAACAAATCTGTATTTCTGTATCTAAGTCATTAGTGTATATGTGACAAGCTAATGCCCCAGTACAAATGTACAGATGAAGAATATCAGTTGTTACAGCTTGCCAAATAGAGTGAATTACCTTTATCCCTAACTCCCAGCCAAATACAAACCATGTTGCGTGCTATTTCCAATGATCATAGCATCATTGAATGATTAGACAAAGAAGAGGCATTGGATGTGATCTATTTGGATTTCCAGAAGGCCTTTGACAAGGTGCCACACAGGAGACTGTTGAATAGGATAAGAGCCCATGGTGTTAGGGGCAAGGTACTGGCTTGAATAGAGGTTTGGCTGTCTGGCAGAAGGCAGAAAGAATGGATAAAGGGGTCTTTTTCATGATGGCAGCCAGTCACTAGTGGAGTTCTGCAGGGGTCAGTGTTGGGACCATTCACATTATACATTAACAATCTGGACAAAGTAACTGAGGGCATTGTTGCTAAGTTTGCAGATAACATAAAGATAAGTGGAAGGAAGGTAGTGATGAGCAAGTGGGAAGGCTGCAAAAGGACTTAGCCAGGTTCAGAGAGTAGGCAAGTAAGTGGCAGTTGGAACACAATGTGGGAAAGTGTATAGTTATGCACTTTGGTAGGAAGAATAAAGGTGTAGACTATTTTATAAATGAGGAAAGGCTTTGGAAATCTGAAGCACAAAGGGACTTGGGAGTCCTTGTTCAGGATTCTTTTAAGGTTAAAATGCGGGTTCAGTTGGCAGTTAGGAAGGCAAATGCAATGTTAGTATTCATTTTGAGACAACTAGAATACTTGAGCAGGGATGTACAGATGAGGATGTATAAGGCTCTGGTCAGACCGCATTTGGAATATTGTGAGTGGTTTTGGGCCCTGTATCTAAGGAAGGATATGCTGGTGTTGGAGGGGGTCCACATGAGGTTTACAAGAGTGATCCTGGGAATGAAGGGCTTTTCATATAAGGAGCATTTGAGGATTCTGGGTCTGTGCTGAATGGAGTTCAGAAAGATGAGAGGGCATCTAATTGAGAGGCCTGGATCAAGTGCCCATGGAGACAATGTTCCCACTTGTAGGAGAGACTACGACCTGAGGGCAAAGCCTCACAATGAAAGGACAACTCTTTATAACTGAGATGAGGAGGAATTTCTTCAGCCAGCGGGTGGTGAATTTGTGGAATTCATTACTACAGAAGGCTGTGGAAGCGAAGTCATTAAGTGTATTTAAGATAGAGACAAAGGTTCTTGATTAGTAAGGGGATCAAACATTAAAGGAAGAATGGGGTTGAGAAACATACCAGGCATGATCGAATGATGGAGCAGACTCAGTGGTCGTATGGCCTAATTCTGCTCCTATACCTCATGGTTACAGCAACAAAGGGAACCACTTGGCTCATTATGTCCGTACCAGCTTTCTTTAAGGGCAGTTTAACCAGTCCTACCTCTCCATTTTTTCCTGTAATCCTGAAAATCATTATTTCACTATAGTCTTAAATGACCTAGGGCTGTTCTCATTAGAGGGAGATGACTGGTGAAGGCCATGCCTCAAGTCAGTGGAGAGGTTGAGAAGGAGAATCCTTCATGGTAACTCTGGCATTACTCTGCATTGGAAACAGCTGTACAGCCAACTGAGCTGCCCATTGCCCTGGCAAATACGAGGGATAGTATTCAGTTATCCACCATCTGTCTGATTAACCTGCACACTAGGACTGCACTGAAGGACAAACGAATACCAAGCAACGACCATCTCCATTGCCCCGTGATGTTCAATGGCATTACCATATACCCCTACTATCAACATCTTGAGTGTTACCATTGACAAGAAACTGAACTAGGCCAGGAATTCTGCAGCGAGTGATTCACCTTCTGAATTCCCAAACCTAGTCCACTATCTACAAGACACAAATCAGCAGTGTGTTGCAATACCCTCCATTTGCCTGGATGAGGCAAGGATGAGTTAGAACAATACTGAAGAAGCTTGACACCATTGCCAACAGAGCAGCTTGCATAATTGGCACCACATCCAGAAACATTCACACCCTCACAACGAATGCATAATAGCAACAGTGTGTATGATCTACAAGATATGTTGCAGTAATTCACTAAGGCTCGTTGGATAGCACTTTCCAAACCCACAACTGCTACCATCTAAAAGGACAAGGACACCACCTGTGAGTTCTCTCTGAGATATTTGCTATTCTTAAGTGGAAATATAATGCTGTTCCTTCAGTGAAAGGAACTCCCTCCCTAACAGCATTGTGTCTATACCAAAAGGACTGCAGGATTCAAGAATGCAGCTCACAGGCTTCTCAAAGGCATTTAGGGAAGGGCAATAAATGCTGACCCAGGCAGTGAAGGCCACATCCTGTGAATGAATGAAAGATACTATTAGGATAAAGAGGGCAATTTGATCAGCTAACCATCAACCACCTTAAACATTCTCTCTCTCCATCACCGACACAGAGTGTCTGCAGTGTGTACCATATGACAGATATATTGTAGCAATACAGTAAGCCTCCTTTGACAGTTTCCAAACCTGCAACTTCTATTACCTAGAAGTACAATGGTAGCAGGTGAGTGACAGAACACCACCTACAAGTTTCTCTGCAACAACACTATCTACCCTAAATGTACTTGCTGGTTGAAAAAGACAGCTCAGTGCCATCTTCTTAAGGGTAATTAGGGATGGGCAACAAATGCTAGCCTTACCAGCAACAGCCACTTCCCATGAAGGATAAGTATCATTCTTATGCTTTATATTAACCTTACTATTTTCATCTTCCAGGCAAAGATCAAGTTATAGCAGCAATTCTAACTGAAACCAGCTAAATGGTCAGGTTAATAAACGAGAGACCGTGAAGGCTGTAGAGTGCTGAACCTTTATAGTGAATGGAAGGATCAATCATTTTGGAACTGTTTGTGTATGAGTGCGTACACCTTTGAACAGTTGGCCTGTTGCCCTGGTGTTCTGCAACATCTTTTGCCTGATCTTCATTTTCCCCTATCTCCTTATCAGTGGAAGAGCCAATATCTTCATTGTTCAGTTACTGTCCGTTATGGAGTGATAGGCTGATTAGAGCACAGCACACCTCAATTCAATAAAAATATTTATTTGAACACATTGTATTCTTCCACCAGATCTATCTAGGCATCTGAGCCATATGTTCAATGGGCTGTTGGGCCTGCTTGATGGTCACTTGAGTTGTGCTGTGACAGATGTATTTTTCCTCTGCATGAGTGCTAGTGTTCCTCATAGGTGTCAATAGCCCCATTTTCAATAGAAACCGAAAGAACTGCGGATGCTGTAAATCAGGAACAAAAACAGAAGTTGCTGGAAAAGCTCAGCAGGTCTGGCAGCATCAGTGGAGAAAAAATCAGAGTTAACATTTCAGGTCCAGTGACCCTTCCTCAGTTCCAAAACGTTAACTCTGATTTTTCAATAGGTCTTCCAATTCCTCAACTTCAGCTCAATATATTCCCAATAATCTCTCTTGATGTTAATCAGTGTATTCCTCTGAACTTTCTCTATTTTGATCACTGTTACTGGACAACTAGACAAATTGACGAGAGGCTTCCAGAAATATGCTTAACTGTTAATTTCATACATATGGGAGGGTAGTCAGTCTTTACACTGTGAAGTGTGAAACTAACTCTAGTGGCTTACAAACACCTCCAAATTTTGTACAAATAATTAAAACACAAATAGTACAGTATCTACTGTTCTTCCACTGTCATTTTTAGATACAGCTGCTCCTAATATGCCCTCCTACACTTTTCATTCAACCAGGGTTGATACCTTGGCTTGATGGCAGTGATAGAGTGGGGAATATGCCAGGCCATGTTTTTGGAGATTGCGTTTAAGTTCAATTTGGCTGCTGCTGATGGCCCTCAGCGCTTCACAGGTGGCCAGCTTTGAGTTCCTGGATCTGTTTAAGTTTATGCCACTTAGCATGGTGCCACACAACACAATGAAAGATATTCTTCATGTGAGGATGGGATTTCGTCTCCAGGAGTACTGTGCATTGATCTCTCTTACCGATTCTGTAACAGACAGATGCATCTGTGGCGGGCTGATTGGTAAGGATGAGAACAAGTCTGTCTTTCCCTCTTGTTGGTTCTCCCACCACCTGCCACAAACGCAGTCTAGTGGATATGTCCTAAAGGACTCGACTACCTTGATCAGTAGTGTTGCTGCCAAACCCCAACATTCTTCACTCTTGCTACCTTCAGTGAATCCTCCAAGTGCTGTTCAACATGGAGGAGAACTGATCATCACCTGGGGGGGGCAAGTGCATGGTAATCAGCGGAAGGTTTCCTTTCCCATTACTAATCTGATACCATGAGAATTCATGGGGTCTGGTGTTAATATTGAGGACTCCTAGTGCAGCTCCCTTCTGACAGTATCCCTGACTGTGCTACCATCTCTGCTGGGTATGTCCTGCTAGTGGTACAGGACGTCCCACATAGGATCATGTTGTTCCCTGGAATGTGTATAAGATGATTATGAAAATATCAGGTTATTGCTCGACTTGTCTATGATACAGCTCTTCCCCATTTTGCCACTAAATATTAGTAAGGAAGACTTTGCAGGTCACCAGGACTTCACCATTGTCATTCGTGCCTTAGTCAATACCAAATGGTGTCTGTTCAGTTTCATTTCTTTGTTCCTTTCTCGCAGTTGATACAACTGGATGGCTTGCTAGGCCATTTCAGAGGGTGGTTAAGAATCAACCACATTGCCAGACCAGGTAAGGATGGCAAATGGGTCTTTTTCCAGCAAGCAACAGTGACCTTTAATTCCAGATTTTTATTGAACTTAAGTACCACTACTGAACATTACCACTCCCCAGAACAATACCAGTCAAATGACAATACCACTAGGCCATCACATTTGCAGGACATATCTGGGGATGATGATGGCAGTGCAGGACTTAACCAGAGCTGGTGATGGAGGCATTTGGGACTTTACTGAAAAGTTTTATTCAGTGTGTATGACTACATCAGTCTGGTGCTTCACTGGTCTGTTGGACTACATTATTATTTTTGGCACAAGTCTCTAGATATTAGTCTGGATGACTGTTAGTCTGAGTGAACTGGTTATGACTTTGCAGTGTCTTGTGTTTAGATGATCCTTGCAGTTTTACTGGTCACCTGCTTCTTTAAAGAAGTTAGGTTTGATGAGTGGCTTGCTCAGTTTCACCAGTTTCAGTGAGGACTTAGGGATACAGCATATTCCTATGGGTTTGGAGTCTGATGTAGACCAAACCAGATAAGGACAGCAAAGTTATTCCCCAAAGAAAATTAGTGAAACAGTTAGGTTTTAACAACAAGATGGTGGCAGAGAAGGGCTCCTGTGCCATGCTTATCCACTCCAACCACTTTTATGTTGTTTCTTTTTTTATTTCCTCTCTTCTTGTTCCTTTTCTTCCCCTTTCCTTTACTTACCTCTTGTCCTGAATTCGACGGCATTGGCAGCGGCAAGGGATCCTAGCATAGACCTCATGGTTGCAGTGATTGAGCCCAGCATTGGCTAGAGTGAGCCCAGTGTCGATGTTGTAGGAGCAACGGATGAGCCTAGAGAAGACTCAAGCAAGCCCTTACTTACTTCTCCAGGGCAAGCACAGGACCTGGTATTGGAATCAGTGGGCGCTGAATCCGCGGAGACAATTTCAGCCCAGCGGTGAAAGGTGGCACCTGAGGATCGATAACTTTGTTGTTGGTTAGTTCTGGTGCTGGCAGCAGCAAAGCGGTGGCAGAAGGGCATCACAGTGACATCAAGGCAGGCCCCGTGGTCAGAGATGGAGGGTACAGCGCAGGCAGTGGCAAGGTGGTGGCAGAGGAGAATTGGCCCAGCGGCAAAAGATGGTACCTGAAGAGTGGCGACTTCATAGTTGGTTGGGTCTGGTATAGATGGTGGCAGGAGGGATTGCAGCACAGCATTGTTGATGATGAGCTGGCTCAGGACTGATGGCCTCCCTTTATATATCTTCCTATTTTTTTCTTGTTCTTAAACTATTCAAAATGGCAGCAGTGGAAAACCTTTCCTCTATATTTTAATGTTTTTCTCACTGTAAAATACACATGACAATAAAATCATTCATATTCATTATCACAATCCCATATCTTTACAATTATCATTACTGATGCCAGCTTTTTAAAAAATTCCTTAAGTTCCATTGTGGAATTTAGTGGAATGCTCCCATGTCCTGGAGCATTAAACCAGATTTCTGTATTCGTTGTTCAGTAATATTACCACTGTGTTAATGTTCTGATTATTCAACTGGAATATGCTGGTGTTTATTTGGATTATCATTAATGTGTCTTAATATTGAAAACTTAAAGTAGTCATTTAGTGGTACAGAAATTGATACTGCTGAAAAGAGAAGCATGTTGCTGAAGCTATTTGTCTTGCACTCAACAAGACAAACACAGGAATGTCAAATTTCAGGTAATCATAATTTATACTGCAGGAAAAAGCGGTGCTGATTGGTTAGCAATTTGCCTCTGATTAGCCGAGGCATTGCCATGGAGAGAGCAATTTTGTGAACAAACCTAAATACACAAACAGTTAACACTAGCAAATAATTTAAGATAATCAGTCAAGTTCTGAAGGAGAGTCAGACTGGACTTGAAACTTTAACTCTGTTCCTGTCTCTCTACAAATGCTTCCAGACATGCTGAGTTCCTCCAGCACTTTCTGTTTTTCGTCAAGCTTACAGCTTGGTTCATATACCCTTACTAGAAGTGACATATAATCATATGTATGGACTTTTTCTCTGCAAAGAAAATAAATATGTTTGAGCCTTAGTCCTTTAATGTGTCTCCTTTAGAGAGCCTATTGTTTCCCATTGCTTATAAATTGACATTATCAATTGAAATTTGGTATTTTCACATTTGCTGTGAATGGTGAAAGATGAAAAGCTTTGGCAACATAAAATCAGAGAATTTTACAGTAAAAAGGAGGCCATTCAGCCCATCATGTTGGTACCAATTTCTAAAATAGCTACCCAGCTAGTCCCATTTTCCAGCCCTATCTCTAGCCCCCCAAAATTCACCACTTTCAAAGAAATATCTAGCTCTCTTTTGAAACCTCCTATGGAATCCACCTTCACCACTCTCTCAGGCAGTGCATTCCAAATCCTAACAACACTTTGACTAAAGAGGTTTCTCCTCAACTAACTCTGAAGTCTCTTGATGACAATCTTGAAATTGTGACCCCGAGTTACTGACTAACTAGTGAAAACAGAATATCATTCTTTACGCTGTCAAAATTCTTCATAATTTTGAACATCTCAATCGGGTCACCACTTAATCTTCTCTGCTCCAAGGAGAATAAGCGCAATTTCCCTAATCTTTCTTTGTATCTAAAACACTTCACATCTGGTATCATTCATATAAATCTCCTTTGCACTCTATCCAGGACTTTAACATCCTTCCATAAATAAGCTACCCAGAATTGAACATATATTCTATATGTGGACACGTACATCTGTTCAGCAATATTTAAATTTTGAGTAATAACTTTAGTATGTTTTGTTTTGAAGTGTTCTGCTAACCACATATTTCTGTGTGGAAGCATGTTCTGAAGGGATTGATGGTAATTTAAATTCTGTTTTTTCTTTAATTTGTGTTTCAGGGACAAAGGGAAGTCGTTTAGAAACCTATAGTGCCAGTCAAGTAGAACTCTACAATATGGTACAGTTTCAAATGCAAATCTAAACTTTATTTGCAAAGTACAACTTAATGGGAAGGGACAGGGTAGATAATGATAAACTATTTCTACTGGTTGGAGATTCTAGAATTAGGGCGCATAGTCTAAGGCTATCCAGAGGAGATATTAGGAACCTATTAAAGGGTAGTAGATGATGCTAAATCAGTTGTTAGTTTTAAATCTAAGACAGATAATTTTTTGTTAAGCAAAGATATTAAGGGATATGGGCCTTAGCAAGTATATGGAGTTAGGCCACAGATCAGCCATGATCTCATTAAATGGCAGATCAAGCTGAAGGGGCTGAATGGCCTACTGCTGTTCCTATGTTCCTACATTCCAGTAGAAGATTGGGTCTAAGACTCCTATTTTATATGTAATTAAGGACAACTACCTGGGCATGAAAACTGAGCAAGGTGAAGTGAACTGGCACACTAGGCTAGGAGATAGATCTGGAGCAGAGAAGCAGTGACAGACATTTATTGAGATATTTTAGATTACTCAAAATAAGTACATTCCTAATATAAGAAAATTTTCAAGAGGACAACTCACCATTTGTCATTAATTAAAGAAGCTAATGAAAGCATCAAACTTAAGGAAAAAGTATTTACTTGCACAAAAATGAGTGGCAAGTCAGGTGATTGGTGTTAATAAAAAGTGTAGCAGAAAATGATCAAAAGGTTATTCATGAGAAAGAAATTGGAATATCAGTGTAAGCTAGGTAGAAATGTAAAAATGTATAGCTGGAGTGTACATTTATATATATATTGTATATATCAAAAAAACAAGAAAAGTAAATAAAGTGAGTATTGGTCCTCCATAGACTGAGAATGGAAGTTAATACTGAATAATAAGGAAATGGTAGATGAGATGAACAAATAAATGCTGCAAAAACAAATTCCAGCAATAGCTGTAAATCCAGAGGTAAAGGGAAGACAGGAACTTGGTGAAATTACAATCACCAGGAAAGTGACACTGAGCAAACTCAGGCTGACAAGTCCCTATGTCCTGATGGACTTCATTCTAGGGTCTTAAAAGAAGTAGCTAACGAGGTAGTTAGATACATTGGCATTAATTTTCCACAATTCACTAGATTCTGGAAAGTTTCCATCAGACTAAAGTAGCAAAGTTAACACCTCTCAGAGAATTGTGCAAGTTTGTAATTCTCGGCAACAGGAGGTATTGGAGGTGGGGCATTGAATATTTTAAAGCTGGAGGTAGATTTTTTTTTAAGACAAGGAAATCAAAGGTTATCAGAAGTAGGTTGGGAATGTAAAATTTGAAACACAAAAGGCCATGATCTTATCGAACAGTGGAGCAGGATTGACATGCCAAAAGGCCTAGTTCTGCTCCTAATTCATATGCTCATGTCGGCATCCAATCTACATCTGTGCAGTCTTTTCAGCACCTAAGTTGCTGCCTTAACTCCTGAAACAGTATTAATCCAATTTCATAACCAAATTACCTGTACTGGATGAATTTATACCTGTAAGTAATCTTCTTTGACACAATGTTAATTTTTCAGTGTAGTCACTGTTATGAAAATAGTTGCAAATTTACACAATCTCACAAATAGTAAGTTAGTTAAGTGAAATTAAACAGAAAACGCCAGAAATACATAGCAGGTCAGACACTATCAGTAGAGAGAGAAAAACAAAGTTAATGTTTCAGGTTGGTGACTTTCTTCAGATAACTGGTTGATTTGTTTTGCTGGTGTCAAATGATGTTGACTAAGGTCCTAGGAGAATTCCCTGCTTGTCTGTTTATTTCTATGGGATCTGTAAAATCCATCTGAACAGTCAGATCAGGCCTTGATTTAACATCTCATCCAAAAGATGGCGACAAAGGACCACATGCCTCAGCATTTAAGTATTAGTCTAGATTAAATAAATATGTTTAGGGACAAAAACAAAGTTGCTGGAAAAGCTGTGCAGGTCTGGCAGCATCTGTTAAGGAGAAAACTGAGTTAATGTTTCGGTCACCGGACCCGAAACGTTAACTCTGTTTTCTCCTTCACAGATGCTGCCAGACCTGCTGAGCTTTTCCAGCAACTTTGTTTTTGTTCCGGATTTATACCATCCGCAGTTCTTTTGGTTTTTAAATATGTTTAGCATCCTGACCGAAACATCAACCTTCCTGCTCCTCTGATGTTGCCTGGTCTGCTGTGTTCCTCCAGCTCCACACAGTGTTGTCTCTGACTCCAGCATCAGCAGTCCTTGCTATCTCCAGATGTTTAGGAGATATCCACTTTAATATCCTCCTCTTTGTTGCATAAGATAAACTAAAAGACTGGGTGACTCTGTAACTGTATGCTGTAAATTTATTTTTCTAATTCCCAATAGGAAGGCACTAACAAACTGACCGGACAACCATCAATGCTGTTTCGCTCATTGACTCCATCTGCCCGAATGGAAGGCCGTCTTCAAGCTTCTACATCAATTGCTAATGTGAAAAAGTTGTTTTGACTGAAGAAAGACTTTTTCATTCTGATTCTGTATTATGAGTTCATGCTTATTGTCATTTTATTACATTACTGTCTCATAAGGTGCATAAAAATGAATTTTGGAGGAACAAAATGTTTATAGTCTTATTAGACAAATATCTAATTGTTTATGAAGACATGTCTCTCCATTTATCTGAGTGGTGATTCAGTGTATGTCAAAGTATTTAATATATTTGTTTGAAGTATATGTACTTATGGTATATATGTGTTAAGATTTATATTCAGTCATTGCATTGCTTGTTACATTTTGTAAAAATGGAAAATAAAAATATTTTGCCTTTTATTTTCTTTACTTAGTTAATGACATGGGAACATCATCACTTCCAACTTTGCCTACAACTTGCATATCTGTTGTCTCCCTGCCGCCATATTATCACCGTTCCTTCATTGACCTGAATACTAGAAATTTTTGGAGTACCCTAACAACACTGCGAGAATAACTCACATCATAGATTGAAAGGGTTCCAGAAAGCAACTGACTGCCTCATTTCCAAGGACATTTAAGGATAAGCAATCAGTGCTACCATTAGCAGTGATGCCTACATCAATAGAAATTATGAAACAGCGTTTGTTATATCTTGCAGTGTTTCCAGGTCAGTTCGTAGGTAACGCGTGTAACTGACCTCCATCGGCTTGAACGTACCAGCTTTAATTCCCCAGTCTGTGCCGAGTTAGCTAATATTAATAGAAGAGACAATTAAGAGTAAAACTGGCCTGGAAATTTTGTGTTGTTTTTGCTTATTCATCCCTATTAGAAATGATATACCTCTGCACCTCAAGGGAAGCTAGCTCAGTCGCACCCGCGACAGTTAATTACTGCATGACTTAATAGCGGCATTCAACCAAAATGGAAACCAAAAAGTTCCAACAAAATTGAAATTTATTGGGGGGTCAAAAGGATACTCTCCAAATAATGGAGTTGAACCAGACACGATGAAACATTTGCTGACAGCCAGTCGTCACAGGTGCTGAAAATCGTTACGAGAGAAAGGGGGCTCTTGGCCCAACCTTTTTCTGCTGCTTGCTTCCATCCCTAAGATCAAAAGAGCAGGATTGTTTACAGATTACATCACACTGCTCAGCGTCATTCACAAGAATGAAAAGATAAAGTGTTTTACATTCATTCATTCACAGGGTGTCCGTGACACTAACCGTCTCAGCACAAATATTATTACGTTTGCTAAGTCGGTCAATGTTATTGACATAACAAGGTGTAGAGGTGGATGAACACCGCAGGCCAAGCAGCATCAGAGGAGCAGAAAAGCTGACGTTTCGGGTCGAGACCCTTCTTCAGAAATGGGGGAGGGAAGGGGGTTCTGAAATAAATAGGGAGCGGGGGGAGGCGGATAGAAGATGGATAAAGGAGACGATAGGTGGAGAGGAGACAGACAGGTCAAAGAGGCGGGGATGGAGCCAGTAAAGGTGAGTGTAGGTGGGGAGGTAGGGAGGGGATAGGTCGGTCCAGGGAGGACGGACAGGTCAAGGAGGCGGGATGAGGTTAGTGGAGATGGGGGTGGGGCTTGAGGTGGGAGGAATGGTTAGGGAGGCGGGGACGAGCTGGGCTGGTTTTGGCATGCGGTAGGGGGTGGGGAGATTTTGAAGCTTGTGAAGTCCACATTGATACCCTTGGGCTGCAGGGTTCCCAAGCGAAATATGAGATGCTGTTCCTGCAGCTTTCGGGTGGCATCATTGTGGCAATGCAGGAGGCCCAGGATGGACATGTCGTCCAAAGAGTGGGAGGGGGAGTTGAAATGGTTCGCAACTGGGAGATGTTGTTTGTTGCGAACTGAGCGTAGGTGTTCCGCAAAGCGGTCCCCAAGCCTCCGCTTGATTTCCCCGATGGAGAGGAGGCCACAACGGGAACAGCGGATACAGTATACCACATTAGCAGATGTGCAGGTGAACATCTGTTTGATGTGGAAGGTCTTCATAGGGCCTGGGATGGGGGTGAGGGAGGAGGTGTAGGTGCAGGTATAGCACTTGCTCCGGTTGCAGGGAAAAGTGCCAGGGGTGGTGGGGCTGGAGGGGAGTGTGGAGCGGACAAGGGAGTCACGGAGAGAGCGGTCCCTCCGGAAAGCAGATAAGGGTGGGGAGGGAAAAATGTCTTTGGTAGTGGGGTCAGATTGCAGACGGCGGAAGTGTCGGAGGATGATGCATTGGATGCGGAGGTTGATGGGGTGGTACGTGAGGACAAGGGGGATTCTGTTTTGATTGTTATTGCGGGTAGGGGGTGTGAGGGATGAGTTACGGGAAATGCGAGAGACACGGTCGAGGGCACTTTCGACCACTGTGGTGGGGAAGTTGCAGTCCTTGAAAAACAAGAACATCTGGGATGTCTGGGAGTGGAATGCCTCATCTCGGGAGCAGATGCGGCGGAGGCAAAGGAATTGGGAATAGGGAATGGCCGTTTTGCAGGAAGGTGGGTGAGAGGAGGTGTATTTTAGGTAGCTGTGGGAGTCAGTAGGCTTGAAATGGATATCGGTTTCCAGGTGGATGCCAGAGATGGAGATAGAGAGGTCCAGGAAGGAGAGAGAGGTATCTGAGGTGGTCCAGGTGAACTTAGGGTTGGGGTGGAAGGTGATGGTGAAGTGGATGAACTGTTCGAGCTCCTCGTGGGAGCACGAGGCAGCGCCGATACAGTCATCGATGTAACGGAGGAAGAGGTGGGGGATAGGGCCAGTGTAGCTTTGGAAGAGGGATTGTTTCACATATCCTACAAAGAGGCAGGCATAGCTTGGGCCCATGCGGGTACCCATGGCCACCCCCTTTGTCTGTAGGAAGAGTGAGGAATTGAAAGAGAAGTTGTTGAGCGTGAGGATGAGTTTGGCTAAGCGGATGAGGGTGTCAGTGGAGGGGGACCGGTCGGGCCTGCGGGACAGGAAGAAGCGGAGGGCCTTTAGGCCATCTGTATGGGGAATGCAGGTGTATAGGGACTGGACGTCCATGGTAAAAATGAGGTGTTGGGGACCAGGGAATTGGAAGTTTTGGAGGAGGTGGAGAGCGTGGGTGGTGTCACGGATGTAGGTAGGGAGTTTCTGGACCAAGGGGGAGAAAATGGAGTCGAGATAGGTGGAGATAAGTTCAGTGGGGCAGGAGCAGGCGGAGACAATGAGTCGACCAGGGCAGTCAGGTTTGTGGATTTTGGGAAGGAGATAGAAGCGGGCGGTGTGGGGTTGGGGAATGATGAGGTTAGAGGCTGTGGGTGGGAGGTCACCTGAAGTGATGAGGTTGTGGATGGTTTGGGAGATGATGGTTTGGTGGTCGGAGGTGGGATCATGATCAAGGGGGCGATAGGAGGAGGTGTCAGAGAGTTGTCGCCCGGCCTCGGCAATGTAGAGGTCAGTGCGCCATACTACAACTGCGCCTCCCTTGTCTGCTGGCTTTATGGTGAGGTTGGGATTGGAGCGGAGGGCTGCACGTTCTGTGGACGAGAGGTTGGAGTGGCTGAGAGGGGTGGAGAGGTTGAGGCGATCAATGTCTCGACGGCAGTTAGAGATGAAGAGGTCGAGGGAGGGTAGGAGGCCTTGGGGTGGTGTCCAGGAGGAGGAGGTGTGTTGGAGGCGGGAGAAGGGGTCAGTAGAGGGTGGGTTAGGCTCACGATTAAAGAAGTAAGCGCGGAGGCGGCGGAAAAACTGCTCAATGATCAAACGTGAGTTGTATTCGTCGATGTTTGGGTGGAGGGGGACAAAGGTGAGTCCTTTACTGAGGACTGACCGTTCGTCCTCAATAAGGGGGAGGTCTAGGGGGATGGTGAAGACCTGGCAGGGCTGGGTACTATTGTCTCCTCTGGAGCTGCTGGTTGCGGAGGCGGTGAACGGAGCGACGTCGGCCGGTAAATCTTGAATGTTGGTGGCAGCGGCGTCCTCGATGTCTGTGTCGGCCTCGGAAACGGAGGCGGTGGCATTAGCAGCGGTGTCGATGGTGTTGGCTGTACCGGAAGTGGCGTACCGGGCGGTGGCAGATTTGACGTCATCCGTGGAAAACGTTGGTGCTCCGAAGGTGGCCACATGGCCAATGGTGGCGGGCACATGGTGGGGAAGGTCCTGGGTAGGGTGGCTTTATTGGACACTAAAAGGATGCCCACCTTAAAGAAGTTACCCTCCTCCCTCCGGAAAAACCTCAGTGTATCCCTCTCCCACTGCAACCCTCTTGTAATCTCTTCAGCCCTGAAACTGCTCGACCACGTCCTAAAGCAAAGCAGGTACTACAGCCACATTGCCTTTCTGAGTACCTGCCTACGGACCAGATCATCCCCAACGGACTACAGTCTACATTTAAGCCTTCCCAATTTGGCCCCAACCGCGACCACCGCTACATTCACAACATTGATATCCTACAGAGGCGTTTCTCCCTGCGACTCCTGAAAAACACACTCGCTGCAATGCGCTGGCATCTCCAGATACTACAATTAAGCCTACCCCAGCTCAGAGCCTCCCTCTCCCAGACCTGCAAAGGACCTCTCCTGTTTTTCATTCTTCGTAGGATCCACAATTCTACTCGGCTTTATTAGACACTAAAAACCGAAAGTACTTTAAACTTACTGGTGCCTGCCACCCTACCCAGGACCTTCCCCACCATGTGCCCGCCACCATTGGCCATGTGGCCACCTTCGGAGCACCAACTGTTTCCACATGACGTCACATCCGCCGCCGCCCGGTACGCCACTTCTGGTACAGCCAACGCCATTGACACCACTGCTGATGCCGCCGCCTCTGTTTCCGAGGCCAACACAGACATCGAGGACGCCGCTGCCACCAACATTCAAGATTTACCAGCCGACGTTGCTCCGCCCACCGCCTCTGCAGCCAGCAGCTCCAGAGGAGACAATAGTACCCAGCCCTGCCGGATCTTCACCATACCCCCAGATCTCCCCCTTACTGAGGACGAACGGTCAGTCCTCAGTAAAGGATTCACCTTAGTCCCCCTTCACCCAAACATCGACGAATACAAATCATGTTTGGA